AAACATCCGGCCGAGCCGACGAGCAGCCCTAATTACCCAAACCGATCGGCGGCGACCCCAGAGGGGAAGTCAGACGATGCCAGCCTTCTCGGAAGGCTCGGAAGGCCCCCGGCCTTCTGAGAAGTATTGCAAGCCTTCTCCATGACAGAGACGGCTTCTCAGAAGGCCCGACGGCTTCTGAGAAGCCCCGCCGGCCTGCACCCTCTCACTTCCCCACTGGGCTCGCAGTCGAACCGAGAAGCGCCCGACGAACAAACAACAAACCCACCCGGGCCATAGCTCTCCTCAGGGGGGGCGAGGCGCGCCGTCTTCCGACGGGCTCCGAGGCCTCGATCGCAGGGGACCTCGCCACAGGCCTGGCCGCCTTGAGTCCCAAGACGCCCGGTTGCAGGAGGGCCAGTGGAAAAAGCGGCGGGGCCCTCATCCCTCCCTGGCGTCCCTTTGTCTTTCCTGGGCCTCCGGGCACTGCGGGACGGTGCTCGAAGGTGCAGCTCCCTGCTGCAGGACGAGGGCCGCGCCGAACGCGCGAGGGCGCTGCCATCCGCACCGGGCGCCTCGGGCCGCCCCCGGCGGCCGCGCCTTCCGACGCTGGAAGCCCCCCGCCCCAGGCGGCGGAGAAGGGCGGCCTGATGCAGTGGCGCCTGCACGGCTTCGTCAGGTGCTGGGGCGACGATCACCTGGCGAAGGCCCTCTGAGAGAGAAACGTCCTCCCTGAGCCCATCGGGACGCGAGGCTTTGAAGCACCGCCTGTGCCCCTGGTGTCTCGAACGGCCTTCCTCTGCCACCTGGCCGCACGCGAGCGCGCACGGCCACTGGCGGGACGCCGCCGGCCATGCGCCCGGGTCCGCGGGAAGCCGCCGTTCGGGCGCGCCGCCGCCGTGTTTGCGCCGCCGCCGTGGCCGCTGCCGACGTGCGCCGCCGCCGTGCGGCCGCCGCCGAGGCCGCCGCGGCCGCCGCCGCGGGGCGCAGCGGCGCGGCTCCTCGGCGGAGCCGGCCCCGCGCTGCCAGCGGGGCCGGCGCCCCGAGCCCCGGCGCGGGGGCTCCTGCGCCCGCGGGGGCGCCCCGCGGAGAGCCGTCGCCGCCGTGGCTGCCGTCGCCGCTGTCGTCGCCGCGGTGTGCGCCGCCATGGTCGTGGTGGTCGTCGTTGCCACCGTCGTGGTCGTCGTGGCCGTCGTCGTGGTCGGCGTCGCGGTTTGCGGGGGCGCTTGTCGCCAACGTCGTCGTCGTGGTCGTCGCGGTCGTCGCGGTCTGCCGCGTCGTGGTTGGCAGCGCCGTGGTGTGCGTCATCGCCGCCGCCGCCGCTGCCGCCGCCGCCGTTGTCGTCGTCATCGTCGTCGTCGGCGGCGGCGGCCTCGGCGTCGTGGTCGTCGTGTTTGGCGGCATCGTCTTGGTCGTCGTCGTCGTCGTCGTCGTCGTTTGCCCTGGCTTCGGCTGTCGTCGGTGAGGAGAGTCGGGTCGTCGTCGGCGGCGCAGGCGTCGACTGCATCGCGGGAGGGGGGTGAGAATACTAAAAGGGAGGGTGTGAACGCGAAAAATTCAAAGCACGTCCCTCCATCTCCATTTTGTCCTCACTCATCCTCCCGCCACCTCCCTCCTTCTCCTCCTCCTTTCCTCCCCCTTCCCCTTCCGCCTCCTTAGTGGGCCCTGGCGACGGCAAGGCATTTTTGGCGTCTGATTTCGTGCCTCATGTATTTGTATTGCCATTCCGTTGTTGTTTGTTTTCCACTTTCGGTACCGGTTCCGAGTCCGATGCTGACGTTGTTGTCTGGTTTCAGTTGGGGCGTTCCTTTGCGCGTTGCAATGCAAAACGCCACATGTTCGAGAACGATGAAGAGCCGCACTGCCGTTCCAGGCTCCACCGAGTCCGTCTCATCATGATCGTCCTCTTTTTTCTCTCTCCTTCCCTCGCTCCCTCCTCCTCTCGACCTCTTCCAAGATTGATGAGAAGCGGAGCGGGGAAGCGGGGTGCCAGTCGCCAGTGCGGGAAAAAATACTTTACATTCCTGAAAAAAACTCAGGGGCAGATTCGAGGGAACCTGCAGAGCCCGATACTACACATCTGTATATCATACGTGTCTGCACATTCGCACGAAATGTCTCAAGGATAATCGATCGACAAATTGATCGTAGCCACAAAAACGGGGCCGACCCCGTTTCTACCATTGACGTCGGCTACACAGCCCGCGGCGACGAGGACCAACGAAGGGCGAGACGACGCCGGCGAGGCAAGCCGAAACGACGGCTGCCAGGGCGATCCGTCACCAGCATCGCAAGCCGAGTCTGGCCGCGCAGCTGGGCCATTTTCGGGCCAGGCGAAAGGGGGGGATAGCAAAGGGGGGGTTTGAGAATCAGCTCGCGTAGCTGATTTTCCCGGCGCCTCCCGGCGCCAGAGACGGCTATCTATCGAGGAATGGGCCCCTCGGTGGGACCGAAACTAGCTGCATGCAGCAGATTTCGTAACCCCCCCTTTCCGTACCCCCCCCTTTCGTCCGGCCCGACATTCAGAATCGTGCGAGTCCCATAGCAACGCTGGACGATGCACGCGGCACTGCCGCGTGCGCAAACCGATGCGGGCAGCGGAACGGCCGATGGGCCATCCGGCGCTCCGCGGGCCGTGGCGACAAGTTCGTATCACTAAGTCGTGGCATTCCAGGCCCGGCTGGAACTCAGACCCCTCCCCCACCTCCTCCTCCTCCTCCTCCTCCTCCTCCTCCTCCTCCTCCTCCTCCTCCTCTCCCTCTTCCTCCTCCTCCTCCTCCTCGTCCTCCTCCTCCTCCTCCTCCTCCTCCTCCTCCTCCTCATGCTCCGCCTCCTCCTCCTCCTCCACGTCAAAAGATGGATCGAGATGCGGACGACCGGCGCAACATTATTCCAGCAGGCTGCCCTTGTTTTCGCAGCAGAGGCCACTTCGGTGGCGCCTTCCCTCACAGGGCACATCGCCAGGCTTTTGGGCTCGACAGCGAGACCAGCTTGGCGCGACACGCCAACACCATGCCTCCCCCCGCTTGCCGGGGGCGACAAGGCGTGCGAGATGCTCGGCTGTCCCCTCCACCAGGGTTCGAAATCGAAATCGTGTTTGAGGAGGGGGGAGAGGAACTCCTAAACGTATCGCCTGGGCCTCTGGAGCCTCCAAATCCAGATAGATAACAGCCCGTGGCCTCCAGGGCGCCTTCCATCTGAGCCGCTCAAGCTGGGCTCCAACACGCCGAAGAGGCTTCAAAACTATCCTCAACGCGGCTTTAAAAGCCTCCAAGACGCCCTAAGAGGATCCCTTAGAGAGACTCAAATCGTCACAAACATACTCGCCTTTCATAAGGGTTTCTATAGCTCCAAAGCGGCCCACGAGACCCCCAGAGCGTTCCAAGACAGCCCAAGAGGTCCCCAAAAGGGCCCGAAGACGGCCCAAGAAAAGCCCCGAGACGGCCCAAGACTCGTCCAACACGGCCTCAAAAAGGGCCGAACAGGGAGAATTCGAACCGACATGTGAGCCCTCCGCCTCGAGTTGGCCCCAGAGCCCGCCAGCACGCGCCCAAGAGATCCCAAAGCGCCCCCCGACGGCCCACAAACGGTCCCCAAATGGCTTCAAAATTGCTAGCAGGAGGCTTTCAAAAGCTTCCCAAAACACCATCAGATGTATCAAGGGACTGTGCTTGGACCTCCGCTTAGAAACCGGTGCTGCTCTGAAGCGTGAACTACCCTGATACTTGCGCAGCAATGGATGGCACTGGATTCCTTGAATTACTACAACGGTTTGCAAATTTATTTCGGAAAGTGTGGCAGGCGAATTATCAAGAACGAATGTGTGCTGTGCCAGACGGTTATCCACCGGTCGGGGGTGTAACACATCTTTTCGAGCCGGACAAGCAAATCTCCCGCATACTGGACGCCATCTCGCCGAACGGCAAATCTTTCATGAACTCCGGAATGTTGTTCGATAGCAGCTTGAATCTGTGTCAGGCAGCGCCCTACTTCGTCGCAGAAGGCGCCTAGAGGCTCCAGGTGCTAACTACTTCGAGCAAGTCGTTTTCCCTCCAATGCAGAACTGGCTCACGTGTACAAGTGCCACGTGTTGTCGTGTATTGAGGGCGCCACTATGGCAATTGAACATGCCGCGGCAACCACTCTGCGCCAACTCGACGGAGTCCAAGACATCTTTTCTGAAAGGCGTGAGCTTGACGCCCAAGGAAACACGATTCGAACGCATGGGCCCAGTGGGAATGCGGCACGACATCGTTATGCTTGGTCTTCTCTAAAAAGATTCGCGTGTGGAGACAAAAAACAACAATTGGCTTCTCGATCTGAGCCGCTCAGGCGACAACATGCGAAGTTCGGATTATCAATCGGCTTCCGTTAACAAACCCAAGCCATTACACGAACCTCTCCTATCTGGCCATTCTCAAAGGCCCCATCGGTCAATATACGGTTCGGTTCCCGTCTTAAGCCGGTTGCCTGATGTGATGGTGCGCGCCACGTTTGTCAACAATTCACAACGTTCGCTGCACAATTTGGGCAACGAGGCTGCCGCGTCTGGCATTTCAGTGGTGGTCTGGACATTTCCGCCCGGACTGACGCCGCCCAACAACGGGCTAAACAGGAGGACGTCTGAAACGGCATTTCATTTCGAGGACCCCCCGCCCAAACCCGCCAGCAAGCTCCCAAGGGACCTCCAAAAACCTCCAAGAGCGTGTCCTTATGTTCAGCGATAATCTGCGTTATCGGCGAGGGGGGGGCAAGGGGGGGTATAGGCGTGTGGGTCCGGCACAACAGGAGCATGTTTTTTTTTTTTTTGTTTAGCCCCACAACGCCTATGTACACCACAGTGCTCGCGTGCGCCGCAGCGCCGTGTACACCACAGCGCCTGCGTACATCGCAACAGCCGTTTTTTTTGCCTGCGCGGCGGGCAGGCGGGGAGGCTCCAAGAGTCAGCCCCCCCTGTCTGCGCGGCGCCTGTCGGCCCTCGGCGAATGACCGAGGCACGGCACCGCGGAAGTCACGGCGGCCTACGCTGAGGCCACCGAGCTCGAGAGGCCAGCCACCTCTCCAGCTGCAGCGTCGGGGAGGCGCGCACCACTGATCGGGTGCACCCCTCTGCGAATTCTGTCGCCCCTGAGGCGGCGGATGCGGCCTGCATCTCCATCGCCTGGGACGCACATGCTCGAGAGCGCCTTGAAGGAGCCAAGGCGCTCACGCGCGTGCGCATTGCACCTATTGCAAACGACGTAGCCGTGGCACCGCTGCATCACATGCCCGAGCCCGTCGTGCGCAGAGGAAAGAGCTGGCGAAACGGCGGGGGCCGATGGAGCCGCTGCCTCGGCAGACCCTTCGGCGGGAGCCAAAACCGCACTGGCTGCGCCGCGCTCGGCGCGCTCACGAGGGGACCGCGACCTGTCGCCGCGGTCTGCCCTGCGCTCCCTCCTTGCAGCCATGAGGAGGTCCTCGGCACTACATGGCTGGGGCTCCACTGCGGCGGGCCTCACACTGGAGCCCGCGGGGGGCCCACGAGGCCTGCGATGCTCTCGGCGGGCGGGGCCGCTCGCGGCTGCGGTGCTGCTGGTGTCGCCGCCGCCGCTCTCGGCGCTTCCACCTCCTCCGCGCCCTCCAGCAGCGGCAGCCGTGACGGTGGCTGCCGCCAACGCAGCCCCCGCAGCAGCGCTGGAGGCGGGGGCCCGCCTGGCCCCCGAGGCCACCGCCTTGGGCTTGCACGGGGCCCTGGAGAGCATCTGCTTGGACTTCTCGGTGCGAGCCGTCTTGAGGCACGCCCGGCAGCGCCACGAGCCGTCGGCCTGCGTCGCGAAGAAGTGGCTCGTGAGGCTGATGCCGATGCGGTTGCCGAAGTCGCGCTGCACGTAGCCCTGAGCGCTGTCGTCCCTGGCGGCCCCCGCTGGCGTGCCGGCCTTGGCTAGCCAGCGCGCAACACCGTCCACCATGACGGCAGCCTGCTTGCACCTCAAACTTGCCTCGGGAGGGGGGCCAAGCGCCGCGGCGATACCTCCTGCCACGAGGTCCGCCTCGAAGTTGCCGCGCCTCTGCTTGAGCGCGATGGCGCCCTCCCGAACTTGCCGAAGGGACGCGTGGCCAGGCACCTTGACCACCGTGAGGCCGCGGTCCGAGAGGCCGCCGAAGTCGTCGAGGGCCGCCCGCGCCAGCCGCCACATGTGCCCCCGCGCGGAGGATGCGAGGGTGGCACGCTCGGCCCCGCGAAGGTTGAGGCCGTCCACCACGAAGCTGGCGTCGCAGTGCAGGATGATGGGCGGGATGGAGTGCCGCAGCACGATGAGCACCGACAGCAGCTCCGCGCCCTCTATGCTCTGCCACGGGCCGACGAGCGGCGACCCAAGCGCCTTGGTCCTGCTGCCGGGCCCTGGGTCGGTGCTGTCGCTGACGGGCGGCAGCTCGACCACCGCCGCTGCGCCTTGGGCGCCTCGCCCACCAGCGAGCGCGGCGCCGTGCAGGGCGCCGTCGCAGTAGAGGGGCTGGCCGCAGAAAGGCTCGCCTGGCTCGCCGCAGCACCGGCGCAGATGGTCCAGGAGGCCGCCTGCGGGCGGCCGCCACTGCAGACAAGGGGACGGGAAGAGCAGCCTCTCGACGAGCATCCTGATCACCTGGTTGTCGCGCTGCGCCAGCAGGATCGCCATCTCCCGCGGCAGCGCGACTCCATAAGGTAGACGAGTGAGGGCCTGGCACTCGAGATGCCTGTGCCAGAGGTCGCCCCGCTGCCCTGGGCAGAGCTCGCAGAATTCCGATGGGGGCATACCTCGGGTTGTTGCCGAACTTCCTGACGTTGGTCCACTGGCCGTTCACGATGCGCGACCTGAGGTAGCCGCGCTCCTCGTTGGTGGCGGTGGGCCAGCTCCTGCCCACCTTCGAGGAGGGCCGCCCTCGGTCGACCCACTTCCGCAGCTGCCCGAAGTTGATGCCGACGGCCAGCCATGGGGCGTCGTGCTCGCTCAGCTGGCGTGCCTGCCAGTCCTCGCAGCTGCGCCGGAGTAGCTTCTTGGTCAGCCACGGGCTGGTGTCGCCGATGCAGTGGACGTCGCCAGCGTCGGAGGTCCACTTGCCCAGCTGGTCGCACTGCCATCCGACGCGCCGCAGGGAGAGGACGGCGGCGGAGATGGGCCCGCGGGCCTGACTCCACTGGCCGACGTGGCGGACTGCAGCTGCAAAGGCCGTCTCCATCGCCTTCTTGGGCAGCCACTGCTCCCAGACGGCTCGGTGCAGCGTGCTGACGGGGTCGAGCGTGGCCTTGACGATGGGGTCGTAGTCGGCTCCGATGAGGGCCAGGACCGCGGTGGCGCTCTTACCCGCGGGCCGCAGCTCGATGGCCTTCACGGCCATGGTCCTGGCCTGCTGTAGCTCGGCGTCGCTCAGGCCCGCGCAGCAAGCCCCGTAGGCGTAGCTGGCCTCCAGCCCCTGCTTCGCCGCGCGGGCTGCGATCCTGCGGCGGCGCGCGGGGCCGAGGAGGCGGCGAAGCCTCGGCACTCGCCGCGAAGCCTGCTTGAGCCGCCCTTTGCGCACGTCCCTGGGCATCTTGCTGTCGACGGCGAAGTCCACGCCCAGGTTGCGAGCTCCTCGAACAGCGCGCGCCTTGGTGGACGCGGCCAGCCTGCCTTCGAGGTCCTTGGCCAGCTGCGGCGAGTCGGCGAGGAGCATCGACTTCTTGGTAGCCACGAGGATGTCCACCTTGCGCACCTCCTTGACCACGCTGGTGACTCTGGCCACGATGGAGTCGGCCACCCGCTTGCCGCCTCCGACCCGCTGGAAGACGAGGTCGTCGACGACGACCGACGGCGCGATGCTCGGCGATGCACGGACCGCGCGGTCGAGCGGCGTGAGCAGGACCAGCTTCATGAACGTGGTTGCCCACATGTCGCCCGCCAGGACCGTCTGGTTCGCCTCGATTAGGTCCGAGACAGCTCCGCGGAGCTCGAGGGCCCGAGGAGCTCGGTAGAGTGAGATCTGGAGCTTGACTACCCAGAGGGGGAAGTCGTGCTCGGTCGCTGAGTTGATGAGGAGCCGGTGCCCGATCTGCTCGAAGGCCTTCCACAGGTCGAGCACCGCGGCGGCAGAGCGCCAATACAGGTCGGGCTGCTCGTCGCGCTTGGCCTTCAGCCACTCGCTCCATACCAGCTGCTGCCAAACAGCTCGCTCACAGGACTTGCCTGCCGTGGCCCACCAGAAGGCCCGCGGGTGAACGGCCCCCCAGTCACGGGCGAGGCCGCGGCGAAGGCGCCCGTGCACGCGCGCGAGAGCCGCGAGGAGGGCGATCGGCCTGACGCCGCCCTCCCGCTTGGCAATGAAGACCAGCTTTCTGATGAAGCTGGGCCAGCAGCACTCGAGCTCGACCCTCTCCAGGAGGGCTGCGATGGCCTCCACGACGTCGTCGCCAAGGGCGTCGAAATTGCGCGGGCAAAAGGTGTCGAAGGACGTGCCCGTGGTCTGCGAGAAAGACGTGAAGACCTTGCGCAGCTCCGCGACGGTGGGGCGCGGCGGCCTGGCGCCGAGGCCTCTCTCAGGCCAGACCAGATCTGGCGTCGTCCTCCCCATGTTCCAGTAGCGCGACCGCTCCTCGGCGAGGAGCTGCACCGCCTGCATCTGGTCCGCTGGCTTCGGGACTGCGTTGCCCTCCGCCCCGCTGCCGCCTTCGGCGCAAGTGGGGCTTGGATGCCGCTGCATGGGCTCCTTGGTGAAGGCGTGCAGCGCACTGCCTCCTAGCAAGGCCTGCTGCTCGATCCAGTCGCCGAACCTGGACTTGGCCCGCCTGGTCGCGGATGCGACGAGCATGTCGCCCACTTCGTCCACCAGCACTGCGATCGCGCGGAGGGCGGCGCTCGGCGTGTAATCGAAGGCGCTGCACAGGAGGGCCAGCGCGTTGCCGAGACGGCCCTGATGCCGGCCTCCGTCGGCGCGCTGGACGTGGAAGTACCAGGCGCGCCGCAGGCGGTTGAGCTGCAGCCGTCCACGCCCTCGGGCACCGATGACGTCCAGTGAGGAGGCGTTATTGGCGACCACGGCCCACTGCATGATCCAGCACGTCTGGATGTCCAGCCTGGGGTAGCGCGGCATCTTGGGCACGCTGGCGCGAACCCAGCGAAGCATGGGAGGGGTCGCTCGCCCCCTGTAGAGGTCGCCGTGCTCGTTGAGGCCGCAGCGGTCAATCAGCTCGTCCTCAGCGACACTGATGATGGCTTGCCACGCGTCGTCGACGGTGGGGGCGCGCGGCGCGGCTTGCTGCACGGCGGCCCAGGCTGGGCCGAAGTCCTGGGGGCAGCAACCAGGCGGCGGCGGCCGCGGGAAGGGCTCGGGCGACTGCATCACCTGCACCCAAGGCTGCACCTGGTCCGTGCTCACCTCGAGCAAGACAGGTCGGTGAGGGCCGAAGTTCCAGTCCTGGATGGTCGTGGCCTTGGCTGCCGCGAAGCAGGAGACGACCGCGAAGTAGTCCGGCACGCGCTCGGCGGGTCGGCAAGTGCCGCTCGCAGGAGCGATGATGTGGCCGCCCAGCTGCGCGAGCCACGGGGCCTCGGCAAGGTCGGCGAGCCCCATGTTGAAGTCACCGCAGATGATGAACGGCAGGCCGACCACCAGGACCGCCCTCCGCACGGCCTCCAGTATGGCCATGTTGGCGGCCGACAGCCCCTCGCCCGTATGCAGGTACACGTTGACCCACGTGATCCCGCCTCGCATGAAGCCGCCGTGGTGCAGGATGTCGGCGCGGCCAGGGATGGGCTCGCCGCTGCGAAGGCCGTCGACGGGGAAGGGGGCGGCCCCATGCCGCCCGGGGGCCAGGCAGCGCAAGCCGCCATGGCCAGGCTTGCCGCCCCCCGCGCCGGAGGCGGCGCACGCGAGGGCATGCCAGCCCAGGCGGTCGAAGGCCGCGCTAGCCTCGGCTGCACGCAGCGTGGAGAGGTGTGTCTCCTGGACGGCGACGAAGTCGCAGCGGACGAGCTCGTCCTCGCCCACAAAGTCCATGAAGGTGGAGTGGGCGTTCGGGTTGATGGTGAGCCCGCGCCATGGCGCGCAAGTGGCAGCACCAGCAGCCCTGCAACTACCCTTTGGGTCCATCGACCCGCATCTTCTTGTCGACGTGCTCACGGAGGCAGCTGGGGGCGGTAGCCAGGCGCTTGCGCTCAGAGTCGTCAGTGCACACCATAAGCAGGCCACCAGGATCCGACTCGCTGACGAACGACTGCAGGGTGACCATGCTGTCGGGCGGGGACGCGGGCGGCGCATCGTCGGTGTAGTCCCTGGGGCCAGCACCTGCGGGGCCGCCTGCCCCGCCTGCTGGGGCCGCTGGAGCTGCCGCCGCCGCTGCAGCCGCAGGCGGAGGCGGCGGCGCCGCCGCTTTGACCATCTCGATGACCTCCGCGAGCAAGTCCTGCGGCGACTTCTCGACAAGGTCGACGGCCGAAAGCTTCTCCAGGAGGCTGGCTGCGGGCACGACCTCAGGCACGACGAAGACCTTGGCCGCGGCAGCCCTGGCCTCCTCGCGCTCTGCCTCGATGGCCTTGGACTTGCGCTGCGCCTCCTCGACCGCCAGCATCGCCTTGACCGCGGCCGCCGCCAGGCGCTGCACGGTCTTGGCTGCCTCGACCGCCCATTGGTCGACGCGCTTGAAGTTCTGGGTGGCCTCGTGCGCCGCGAAGGCCCCGCAGGCGCCTGGCCCGCCTGCGGCGACTGCGCGGCGCGCGTCGACCTTGGCGACCGTGGCCTTCGCGAGCACCTTGCGATACTCTGCCCAGGCCTCGTCGCTGAGCGTCGCAGCTCGCTCGATGGCCTTCTCGTCCAGCTTGGGCCAGAAGATGGCCTCCTGGGTGGGCTGCTGGCCGCTGGCGCCCTTGGGCCCCGTGCGCATCCACGGCGGGGCGCCGCCGCCGCCTTGCCCACGCCCACGGACACCTGGGCCCTTGCCGTCGCGCCCACCGCCGCCGCTCTGGCCCTGCCAGCGCCGCTGCTTGCTGCGCCCACAAAAGGCGCACGCCTGCAGCTTGAAAAGGTTGTAGCCGCCGCACCCGCACAGCCAATAGGAAGACATCGCTGGACAGATATCTCCAACAGCTGGGGGCGAGAGAACAGCGACTTCGGCTCGGCAGCGCGCAGCTCGACCGAGGATGGAACGCCAACAGGGTATGTCCGCGGACTAGCGGTATCCACGCCGCCTCTCGGGAAACGTGGTATCTTGAGCCAAAATGGCTACGGAGACATCGCAACAGCCGTGTGCAACGCAGCGCCTGTGTACACCACATTGCCTGCGTGCACCACAGCGCCAGTGTACACCACATCGAATGTGTACGCCACAGCAAACATGTGCAACTCAGCGACTGTGTACACCACAGCGTTTGCGTGCACCGCGGCGCCCGTGCACACCACACAACCTGTCTACAGCACAGCATCCGCGTGCAACGCAGCGCTGCTGTACACCACAGCGCCTGCTTGCACAGGACAGGTAGAAGGAGCATGTAAGCGAGGATCTGCTGCGGACAGCTAAACGCCACAACAGGGAATCGTTGATAATATAATGCGACGTGCTTCCCTCCTCCCTCCTTCCCTCCCCTTCCACCTCCACCTAAACCTCGACCTCCTCCTCCCTCACCTTTCCCCTTTGTCGTGCGGGTCGGCGCTACAACGCACGTGCGTATCTCAGCGCGCTCTGCAAAATGGTCTACTGAATCAGCCCAGTTGGCTTTCGGATGGCCAATTCTGCTGGAGCCTCCTGGACGCACATGGGAGGACTTAGGATGATGCGGAAGGGCTCGTAGATTCCAGCGGCGCTCCTTTTTCCATACGGAAACTTTTCCATATCGTATATAAAACACGTGGTGTCTGAGGAATCCACACTCGCTCCATTCCATCTAAAATTCGATACGCAACAAGTGTGCTCTGTTGCACACGGTTGATGTGGTTCACATAGGCGCCGTGGTGTAAAACGGCGCTGCAGTGCACGCTGGCATTCTGGTGTACACTGATGCTGAGTTGCACAGAGCTGATGTGCGGTACGCAGGCGCTGTTCGGAAGCTGGGCGAAAGCCGCTAAAACCGTGGCTGCTAAAACGGCCCTCCCGGAAGGAAAAAACAACTTCCCAGAATGAGGCGCGGCACGCGAAACAGTCAACGGGCTTCTTCCCGGAATGACGAAGACATCTTCCCAGAGGTCGATTTTAGCAGTCACGGATTTAGCAG